ATTATCAGACCACTGTAGTTCAATTTGTCCCTTTGAATGTTTGTGTTTTTTAATAAAAAGAAATATTCAAATTGTTTGATTGAAAGGGGGACTGTTTCTAGTACCTAAGAGATAATTCTACACAGTGTAGCAAGTAGATTCTGATAAATACAAGGATAAATGTTTAGTCTGGTGCACAACTTACTTCATACCGTACCTAACACGCTGGATTATTTGACCCCAGCATTCTTTCCACTCCACTCCTCAGGTTTTCCTGCTTTAATGTCGGTTATTTTGCACCCATTGCCATATACGAGGTCATATGGATTACATTCACCAATTATAGTTGAACCATTTGTGGCTTAAAGGGCAACTCTCAGATGTGGGTTCTGGTTGAACTTGAGGGTTGCCCCTCTTTCCTGGACACCATCTTCTTTCATTCCCCATTCCCCATAGGGCTTGTGAGAAACCTTGCACATTTTTGCCAATTCTGTCGCAAACTGCTGGAATTTGACAATTCATGATTCTGTGAGCAGAATTTACATCTTGGAATTCAATGGCTTGTTGATAAGCTACGTACTGAGACACTGAGTTAAAGATTTTGCATTTTTCTGTAATATCTCCTTCCGAGTGGGGATGTGGCACTGTTGAATAGTATTACTCTCCTGATAGATGTAAGATATGGGTTTATATTTTCAGGTAGGAAGTGTAGGTCTTGAACTTTGTATCCTTTGCCCTCAATTAGTAAGGTGTCAGCAATCAGGGACGCTTTAATGTTAGGTTGTTCCTTTCCTAATTTCAGAACTGGGAGCAAGATCTTACGATTTCATTTGCTGTGATGGTTCTGTTGTATTTATATTTACTTTTAGGACCAAGGGGTATCCTATGTACCCTTTCAAATTTAATGCTCTCCGAATCTAAGCCTAGTTTTTTGTCCTTTATAAAAGTTTTTATCAAATTTTCACAGTTCTCACCTTCAACTTCAGGAATTCCTTTAAAGTGGAGACTACTTTGCCTCGAATAGACGTCCATTTCCAATTGTTTGTCTTCAAGTTTGATCATAGCCGATTGTTGACCGTCTCTATTATGCTGGTGTTTTGTTTTTGCACATATTGATCCAATATTTCCTCCATTTCATCTTTCGAAAAACCATGTGTTTTCTTTGGTGGCATGGTTTATACTCTTAGACAGCGCAGGCTGGTTTAAAGGTTCACTTAATCCAAAAGCGGTATGTTTATTTATAATATTTATCCATACGAGATATAACGTGAATAATGTCTAAAATTATCTCCTACAGTCTGTAGATAGGCACAATTTGGAATTTTCCCGGAGCGAGCAAATTTATTTTCCACCCTCCATCTTGTATCACGTGACGGAATTCATCCAGTTATCTATTATATGCTACTACTAGGGACCTGGGCTAAACTTAAGGGAAAGGAATTTTTATCTAGGTCAAGGTCAAAATCTAGGTCACATCAAAGCTTCTTTTAAGGTTCTCAAAGACTGTTACAACACTTCAATATTTTTGCCTGAATTTTTGCACACAGATAGATATTAGTATTCTATAAGTATTAGCTTTTTGCCATTTAAAAACATTTTTGCCTAGATTTTGAGAAATATCTCAAAATCTAGGCAAAAATGTTTTTTAAAAAAAAGGTCTTTGTTCAACAAGCTTCAAATTGACCAAATCTTTTTTAAAAATCATCGACAAAAAATTAGAAGTTGATATCTGACCTTAGAATTGACCTTTGGTTGAAACAAAAAGTTTAGTTTTGAATTTGTTTTTTAGGATTCAAAGTCTACAAAAAACCTAGGTCTAAAAGTGTAAAATGTTAAAGGTCAAATGTTCAGGTCATCAGACTATGTTACAAACAGTGTTATCTAAGTTTTCTGTGTTACTGCAAATCAATATTTTGACTAAAAGTCAGATATATTCAAATTGACAAAGAAACATTTTTTTAAAAAACATCTACAAGTTCTCAAGAGTTTACATCTGACCTTTAATTTGAGATTTGACCTTTGGTTGACATTCACTGACCTTCGAAAGGTCAAAAAGTTGATTTTTTAAGTAGGTTATTTGGAATTAGATCAAATTAAAATGAGGTCTGATAAAGTACAAAATTTAAGGTCAATGTCACCAATCAACCAACCAATCAGCCAAACAACCAACCCAACCAATACCAACCTACCCAACCAGATACTAACCAACAAACCCAACCAACCCAATCCAATCAACCTAAGCAACCCAACCCAACTTAATCACTGGGGGTTATCTTGATGCAACAACACCGTGTTGTTGCATCAAGATGGCCAGCCTTCCAGTGATAGATTTTCGTAAGATATTTTGTTTTCCCAATTTGAACCCATTTCTAAGATGAGTTTCTCAATAACCATACACGTGCAGTTAGTGCACCATCTATGTTTTAAATAACTGTCATTGGTATACATGTAGCATCATCAAGAAGCGATTAATTCATGGTTTTAGTTCCTCACTATTGATGCAACAACATCAAACAGAAGATGCAAAAACACTCCTATAGATTTGAGCAATGATGCAACAACACCAATGTATGGCATATTGGGGATATTGATAAATCAGTTATCACCGATTCTACATATAATTCAATATTGGTATCTCTTCATATAATGGATTACGCAATAGATGATTGGCTACAACTAAATTCTTACCTGGACAGTGTTGCACTTCAGTGTTGTAGCGTAGCAGTCAAATTAACATTTGTTGGCATCTCACTGGTGAGGGATCAATATCTTTGTCTTTGATCGGTGGGTCTAAAGGTTTGTGGTCCGTTAGTAAAGTACTATAAAAGTTTCACATCCTATTAAAGATTTATCAAATCTCTCACATGACCGGACAGTGGCTATGATATTGAGTCATATTCACTCAACAGTAGCTAAGCATTCTTTCTGTATTTGAACATACTTACCTGGGCATGTTTTTCCACACTAACTCCAAATCTTTACAAAGTAGGTCATTTATTGGCTCAAGAATTTGAGCTAAATTTGGGACAAACGACCTAGAAATTAAAATGTTCCGAGATATGATCTCACTTCATCAACATGCCTTCATTCATGCCTTCTTGAATGAAGAGAAATCCAAAGAATTCAATCTCCTTTTTATCACACCATCGGTGGGATATAGTCGTCATACTGGTCGTGGTCGTGATCTTGATCGTGGTCGTGATCATGATCGTCACGCTTTTTGTCATCGCCGTTTAAGGAAAACTGCTCATCAGATTTTCTCCAAATTCGCAGAGATGATAGAGCATATGAAGTACTAGAGCTGATTAACTTTTGGGTGGCCATCTTGTTTTCTGGCGGCCATTTTGAAGGTTTTTCGAAAAATCTTGTCATCGCCATTTCAGGAAAACCGCTCATTGGATTTCCTTCAAATTTACACAAATGATAGAGGATATCAAGTACTAGAGCTGATTAACTTTTGGGCAGCCATCTTGTTTTCTGGCAGCCATTTTGAAGATTCTTCGAAAAATCTTGTCATCGCCATTTCAGAAAATCCGCTCATCGGATTTCCTTCAAATTTACACACATGATAGAGGATATCAATTACTAGAGCTGATTAACTTTTGTTTTCTGGTGGCCATTTTGAAGGTTTTTTGAAAAATCTTGTTTCTTGTTCTTGAAATTTGTAAACATAATAGGAGAACAGTTTTCCTGGTTCATAGTGTCTACCTATTTGATGGTATGATCTCGTTCACGTCCTGTGCCTTGTTTGCAAATTGTAATAAACATAGTTAAAAGTTGAATTTTTGGAGTGAGCGATAATTGATGATAACCAGATTTGCATCAAACTTTGAAAATACGGTCATTCCCGAAAGTTTATAAGTGACATCGTCTACTGTAGGCAAAATGTAAAGCTCATGCTTCACTGACTTATTATGTTTCTTGAGATCAACGCAGATTCTAACACTACCATTCGGTTTCAATATGGGTACCATGGGCGCACACCAATCCGTCGGTTCTGTAACTTTTTATTGTACCTAATAAAGGTACGATATTGTCGTCAGCTTGACGGGCGGGCGGCGGGCGGGCGGGCGGCGTCTCACTTTTCAGCTTGTCTACAGGTTTCCAGCCAAACCATTTGACAGATTCATCTGAAATTTTCAGGAATGTTTCTACGTATCAAAGTTAAGAACTGATTAGTTTTTGGGCATTCTGGGTAAATTTTAAGGTGGCCATTTTGGATTTTCCGTCCTAAATTCTTCACTGTCACACTGCTGTGTTTTAGGTACGATATTGTTCATGGCTGTGCCTTGTTTTATTACTCCAGAATTTTCCATTTGATCTAGGAAATGTAGGAAATGTGCCTGGGGTGTTAGTAACCAAATTAGTAACATCATAATTGAGAACAAAAACTTAAGTTTTACCATTTTAAAGGTCAAATTCTAATAGACGAGATGCGAGTAGAAATGATCTTGATTTACGTCATTAAATATTCAAAATTCAGTCAAAGTGATGTCATATTTGAAATCTACCTGTAAAAATACTTCTAAAAATATGGTTTCGAAAATTGTTTATCAACTTTGAAAATTTAATCTTTTTTGAAAATGTGACTTCTAGTTCGGGTTGATTCCCCATAGACCCCATATTACAAAATCACAAAAAGTGAAATATCTTTTCTTGTACTGAACATACTTTAATTTGCATAACTATTCAATACATAAGGGCTACATGAAAATTGAACCACTAAAACAGATGTAATTTAAGTTAAAGGGAACTTTCTACTATACCCGCCATGCTATCTGACCCGAGCAAGCCACCTGGTGGTGAAACTGGTATACTACCTACTCGCATTTGCGTAATTGAATTGAACCAACATTTTTTCAAAGACATTTACAAGTTTCTAGAAGTTCAGATCAGACCTTTGATATGTGATCTGACCGTTCATTGACCTATATAAAGCCAAAATGCCTTCAGAGCCTCCGTCGGATTACTTGCAATCTTAAAACTCTAGTTATTAATTTACTACACATGCCTTTTTTCAGAATTCTGATGTTGGTTTAAAGACTGTTTGGTTTGGTCCTAAAGTGCTGATAGATGGCGCTGATGCTGACACATTGAAGGAGGGGGAAGTTGCTACATTCATCAACTGGGGAAACTTGAAAATCACCAAAGTTAATAGAAAGGATGGGAAAGTGGAGTCTGTTAATGCTGACCTGGACCTTTGCAATAAGGTATCTTCAATGATTGTTGATTGTTTAAACATATATGCAATTTTGTTCTGTCTGTCCGAATGCTCAGTCACAAGCCCCGGGAACCAGCTGTCATATATAATGTGGATTTTTAACTTACCAATCACGACTTAAATATTAATATAGAATTTTACCCACTAACTTGGATAAAAATCTGTAAATCCTACAAAAATTATTTTTGACATCCTTGAATAAAATTGAACAACCCGGCAAAATTTGACGAAATAATGTTGGAATCCTGCTGCTTTTGATCAATGTGACAATGTATCTCCTTTTTGACCTGCTTATTAAGAATAGACAAATATCATAACATACTGTTTTTTTAACTGTATGTATTAGATAGACACAAAACAGCACATCATCAGAAAGCTTACATCGTCTTTTTTAATCTTCTTCATACCAGAATTGAACCTAACGTTCAAGGAGTGTAAAATCAAATGCAATTGTATTGAACTTACATTATAGATGACAAAATATTTTTGCGGACTGTTAACATTACGTATGTTTTTATGGTTTGAAATTACTAGTCACATATACAGCACATCATTGGAAAGCTTATCTTATCGTTTTCAATCTCCTTTATAGGAGAAATCAATCAAACTTCAGGTAGTGATAAATTAAATGTAACGCATTAATAAATGACGTTTGTAACAAATGGTGTCTGTAACAAATTCTTACAACTTCCAATAATTTTTTAACAAATACTGTTTAGACTGACTTCAATTTTTATTGTACCTAATAAAGGTACAATATTGTCGTCAGCTTGACGGGCGGCAGCGGCGGCGGGCGGGCGGGCGGGTGGGCTGGCGGGCGGCGTCTCACTTTTCAGCTTGTCTACAGGTTTCCAGCCAAACCATTTGACAGATTCATCTGAAATTTTCAGGAATGTTTCTACGTATCAAAGTTAAGAACTGATTAGTTTTTGGGCATTCTGGGTAAATTTTAAGGTGGCCATTTTGGATTTTCCGTCCTAAAATCTTCACTTTCAAGACTTGTCTACAGGTTTCCAGCCAAACCATTTGACGGATTCATCTGAAATTTTCAGGAATGTTTCTACGTATCAAAGTTAAAGACTGATTAGTTTTTGGGCATTCTGGGTAAATTTTAAGGTGGCCATTTTGGATTTTCCGTCCTAAAATCTTCACTTTCAAGACTTGTCTACAGGTTTCCAGCCAAACCATTCGACGGATTCATCTGAAATTTTCAGGGATGTTTCTACGTATCAAAGTTAAGAACTGATTAGTTTTTTGGCATTCTGGGTAAAATTTAAGGTGGCCATTTTGGATTTTCCGTCCTAAAATCTTCACTTTCAAGACTTGTCTACAGGTTTCCAGCCAAACCATTTGACGGATTCATTCGAAATTTACAGGGATGTTTCTACATATCAAAGTTAACAACTGATTAGTTTTTGGGCATTCTGGGTAAATTTTAAGGTGGCCATTTTGGATTTTCCGTCCTAAAATCTTCACTTTCAAGACTTGTCTACAGGTTTCCAGCCAAACCATTTGATGGATTCATCTGAAATTTTCAGGGATGTTTCTACGTATCAAAGTTAAGAATTGATTAGTTTTTGGGCATTCTGGGTAAATTTTAAGGTGGCCATTTTGGATTTTCCGTCCTAAATTCTTCACTGTCACACTGCTGTGTTTTAGGTACGATATTGTTCACGTCTGTGCCTTGTTTCACAATCATCCACATCTTTTCAGAAGTTCAAATCTGACTTTATATTTAAGATTTGACCTTCAATGACCTTTTCAAGGTCACTAAAAGGTCAAAAAGATATTTTTTTCAACTTGCTTCAAATTGACCAATTTTTTTTCAAAATCATCTACAAGTTATCAGAAGTTCAAATCTGGCTTTAGATTTGAGATTTGACCTTCATTGACCTTCTCGAGGTAAAACAAGGTCAAAAAGGTCTTTTTTCAACTTGCTTCAAATTGACCAATTTATTTTTTCATTATCATCTACAAGTTCTCAACAGTTCTCCAAAATACTGACTGATAAAATCTTGTGATCAACCAATCCACACTCAGTTATTAAGCATTACTTATGTTTTGTCACTCTGATTGACTTTTGACTTTTGGAATCTGTTTTCCAAGACCATATGTTATCATGGAACCCCCTTCATAATAAACCTATTCACCAGTTAAAGACATTCAATCCAAGGCCAAGTGTCACGATGGATGGCTCATCCCGAGGATCCTATGGATTCTGTAGTAACATGTTGTAAGGAATTGAATGCAGGAGAAAAAGTTTATTTGAAGATATTATGAATGGCACTGGCCAGGTCAGTTCGTGTAAAACTAAAATATCCGTAGCAGACAAGTGAAATCAGTCCAAATAATCACGCTCTTTCAAAGTTTTGACAACTTTTTCTTTTTAACGCTTTGATGAATGTAAACAAAGGAAGTTACTTCGCTAAAGCCTTACATACACCAATACGACATGGTGGGACCTCCATTGATTTAACATTAAGGTTTCTACAACTAAACAATTTATGACACATATAATACAAAGCATATACACCCCCTCTATAAGGCTGGCAACTTCAATCTTTCATATGATAACATATCAACGTCTGTCAATGTTTGAACCACGATTTTGTTCCTAATTGCTTTATTTCAAAAACTTGATGTCTTGTTTAAAATTGCCAAACAGCATGACAAGCTTTGATAAGTGATTCAAAGGGGGACTTCCAGTTACAAAACTTATGATGGGGAGTGTAATATAACATATTATCATCATAATCCAATCTTACATACCATAACTACATAAACAACATAAGGATAGAATGGGATCTGAAATACAATTTTGAACTTGAATGTTATTAGTACACATACATGTATTTCCTATTGCTGACCACACATACCCTAAACAGCTTTATGGGGTATGGCAAATGATAAGCTGTAAAAATATAAAGTTTTTAATCAGGTTTTATTCACCATAGGCCCTTACTGTTTTTTAAATGACTGATTAACTATCGACTGATTAAGAAATTTTGAAGAGAAATTATGTACTTTTAGGGACAAACTGGAGAGGTTAAGCTTTGCATATATAATCGAAACTGAACCTGTACGTATCACTCGACCATATACAAATTCATGTAGCCTTCTCATATAAATAGCCGTTCAAATCCAGTGTTTGTTTAGACTACACCATAGCGTGTAATGATTCTATAGTATGTCATTGATGCGGTTTTATAGCTGGTTTTCTAATACATATTTTAAACGAGCTCGTTTCGTAAGATTTTTGGCGCTAAATCATGCATGACATACATCATCGTGTTCAGCAAGAATTCAACTGTGCATCGAAATCAAAATTGACAGCATAATGTTCAATAGACAAGAGTAAAATGGTTCCCGTTGACCCAACGTCAAATATTCAAATCTCCCGTTCTAAACCCGAAACTCTGAAGCTGAAAGAGTATCTGAAGTAGACTAAGCGCGCATAAAACTATGAGCGCTCGATACATTCCTTTGTTAATTTTTGTACTTTGCGTTCACGGTTACGTTGTGAAAAACATCGTTAGCTTAACCTCTCCACTATCCCATATCTCTACCAAAATCTGTTGGATAAGACCCAAACTTTCAGGAATCCTTCATACATGCCTTACTGATATATTACAATGTTTCATTATATTTGCAACAACCTCAAATGAGATATTAAATAGTTGCAAGTATATGGTCAAACTCCGACTCGAATATGATAAAATTTGCTGACTCAGCACTTTTGAGCCTGCTTTGCAAGGGTTCACAAACTTTTTTTACATGCCTTGGGGTCCCCTACAAGAATCTAAAGTCAAATTGAATCTAGGTGTTTTGGACACAAATGGCCTTGGCCGTAGTACTAATTGCCATATTCCTATACTGTGGTGATGAAAATTAATCTGTCAGTTTGTACTGCATAACCTCGTAACATGGAATATTGTTATTTATCTAAACTCTCTTAGTCAAAACAACACAAACTTTCTAATTTATTCCACAAAACAAAAGTACTCCATTTGTTTCACAAACACTAAGGTTTTACTTTAATAAACTGACAGATTATGCTGATCTAATTAACGAATGACCAAACTATCAAACTACAGCTTAATCCAATACGTTTGCCATCCACTAAATAATTTTCAAATGTTTTCATGCTTATGCAATAAAATATTGAGACAATACAAAGGCCACAGAAATGTGGGCCTTGACCAGGGTGGAACCTAGTCAATTTATCCCACCACTGCCACCATTTGTGGCGAAGTTGAGTCTCTATATCTTTTACAAAACATGAAAACAAATGTAGTTCAAAATATTAATTTATTTAAGGAAAGTTAAAGTCCAAAAATATCATTTCAATCGGCTACTTACAGCTTTTGGTTTGTCCCGAGTTCACGCAACAAGGTTCTGAGGTTTTCAGACAAAATTGCTCTTTTATACCGAATTTTTTCAATCAAAGACATTCTTTTTTTTTATTGAAGCACAACCAGTCAAGCACAATCAATGATAATCTGTCTTTATTGAGGTACAACCAGTCAAGCATGATCAAAGACAATCTTGTACAGTAATGTCTGACTGATTGTTTAAGACTGAGAGTAAATAGCTGTAATTGTAACCATGCATTTAATACATATTGATGCAAAAAATATGTATTTTCTAATATGCTAATATGTGTAGAACCTATAGAGGAATATATATATTGACTTTCATTAAAAAATATTTATTTGTAGTCACCAATTTTGAGAAACTTAGAAAATACAGTTTGTGATTTAGTTTTATGACCTTGACCTTTGGCCTTGCAAATTTTACTTATGGACCTCAGTGGGTCTTTTGTGATAAAATATACCTAAACTTGAATCCAGAAAATCAATTTGAAAAATCAACTTTTTGACCTTTCGAAGATCACTGAAGGTCAACTAAAAGTCAAAGGTCAAAACTAAGGTCAGAGTTGGACTCCTGAGAACTTGTAGATGCTTCATTAAAAAAGTTTGGTCAATTTAGAGCAAGTTGAAATTTGACCTTGAAAAATTTCGTAATTTGACCTTTTTTCAGTTTTTGAGTTCTAATATCCCAAAATTGGTGCACAATTTTAATAGATAGTCAATTGCTAATGTGTAAAGAACCTATCGAGGAATATATATCCTGACTTTCATGAAAAAATATTGATTTGTTGTCACAAAAACTTAGAAACTTAGAAAACACAGTTTGTGATTTAGTTTGATGACTTTGACCTTTGACCTTGAAAATATTACTTTTTTAGACCTTAATGGATCTTTTGAAATCAAATATACCTAAATTTGAATCCAGAAAATCAATTTGAAAAATCAACTTTCTTGACCTTTCGAAGGTCAACTAAAGGTCAAAGGTCAAAACTAATTTGGTCAATTCGAAGCAAGTTGAAAAATGACCAATTTTTACCATTTTTTGACGTCAATTATCTCAAAAACGGTCACAAATTAACGCGAACATATAGTGAGCACTTTGTAGGGAATGCTAACATCTAGTTACATTTTAATTCATCGCAAGAAATAATGAAGTATGAGGAAGTATGGTTGGGTGAGAAATCCTTCCATTTGCACAGTGGGTCAAAATCAGCTCTGCAACAAGTTTTAGATATTGAAAAAATCAGTGCAAGGGCTAAATGCCAATGGAAGTTCCTCTTACTTGAATTATTGTGACTTTTTCTTTTGGAGCTATCTCAGGAGCATCTTTGCTCACAATTTCTCCACCAGATATTGCAGAACCTCGAGAAAGAATTGCCCATGGGCTACTTTTCTCTGCTTTAACCTACAGATGACTCAGGGCTAAACCATGCATGACGTGGACAGATGAGCGCATCTTTATGTGCAAGGAAGTGGTGGCAATTTGGAGGGGTGATTGATGTATTCTTGCAAGAGTATGAGTATGAACACTTTACTGTCTATGCCATACCTGTCACACCTTCCTCCAATACCCCCTATGCCCCTTGTACTGACTTTTGCAATGTTTAAAACTTGGGTCAGAGCTGAATTTTGCCCCACTTTGCAAAATTAATGATTAATCGGTCAGAGATGACTCCCTGTGAATGAATGATATTCCATTGCAAAGAGGAGTAATTTGGCTTTTTGGTACATTGAATGAAAAGGATGCAGTCAGCATTGGTTTTATGTTTTCTTGCAATATTGCATCAGCCTCCGTACACTGACTTTTGCGATGTTTATAACTTGGCTCCAAGCTAATTTCGGCCCAATTTGCAAATGGAATGATTACTCGCCCAACCATGACCAAATATCAATGAATGATATATCATTGTAAAGAGGAGACAAATGGCTTTATGGTGCATTGAATGAAATCAATGCTGTTATCACTGGTTTTGTGCTTTTTCGAGATAACAATCTGTCACAAAAACAATAGACTCCTGATTGACATTGACATCTGGAGTCTAATAATAAGAAAAATGGCAAAATCAATAGATTTCAGATATTCAGTCTGGAACGGTCTAGCAGGATATGACCGGACAGACAGAATGACAAACAGACGACTGTGCTTTATAGTGAGAAGAAGAACTTTCAGTGTAAATTACATAAAAACATCACCAGCATAAACAACAAGTCAGTTCTTTGTTTGAATATATTATATTAAATTTGGATGGATGTTCTAATACATGTGTATACTAAATACTGCTTTGAAATGCAAATGAGGTGAAACAGTTGTACATGTGTATCCAGTCAATGATGACAGAATTATCTACTTTTATTTGGGCCATTCAATTGGTTACCTAATTCCCTGTTGTAATTGAAATAAGCCAAATGATTCCTACTTAACTAAATGTATTTCGTTGCAGGACTTCAAAAAAACAGTGAAATTGACTTGGTTAGCAGAGATAGAACCTGCACCATTTGTTCCTGCCATTTGCCAACACTTTGACCACATTATCACCAAACCTGTGCTGGCCAAGGAAGACAACTTCAAAGATTATGTCAACAGGAACTCCAAGGTATTAAGCAGTATACATATACTACTATTATTTTGAAAAATGTGAACAATCTTGTCTTTTCAGTTCAGCAAATAAGGAATTTGTTTAATTTGACTCCAATAATATTTCAATGAAATAATGTTTAATACTTCAATCCTTTTGTCATTGAACAATTGTTTCTTGTATCACAGATGAATGCCAAATGGACTAGATATTCTTGTTATAACATTGCAAGTTGGATCCCCCAAAACTATGTTAACAATGTACATGCATTACAATGCACATGCACTACAATGTAAATGCATATCAATGTGTATGTGTTTCAATGAGCATGTGTTTCAATGAACATTCAATATAATCTACGTGAATGATTGAGCGTGCATTTCAATAAACAGTAGCATTTGCGCCAATGTTCTTAAATTCAGGTGAAAGTATTTGTGCATCTATTAGGGTTGTTTCAAACTCGCAGACTCGGCCACCCGACACTAGATACAGAGTAAAAACTACTGTAAGTCATCATAGGATTTACATTTTCAATATTTATTTTTGAAAGTATACAGTACATACATTGTTGAATTGGCACGGATTCCAAAAAATAACATCCATTATTATGTGTACATAGGCAACTCTTGCTGATTATATATAGGTAAATCAACCTGAAATGTATAGTGAATGTATTGTGAATGTATTGTATGTCAATTCATTGATTGCGGTGAAAAGATCTCAAGGTAGTTAACAGAAAGTGAAGGAACAGGAAGTCAGAAAATACATGCTGGAGTTCTGTTTTGACCTTCAGTCAGTTTTACGGGTTGTAGTAAATACCACCTAGGTGTCCCCATTGAAATGCTTTATTATCCCATTGAACGAAGTTCGGAGGGATATAGGGAACGCCTCCGTCCGTCCGTCCGTCCGTCCGTCCGTCCGTCCGTCTGTCTGTCTGTCCGTCCATCCGTCCGGGCAATAACTCAAATACCGTTGGCCTGATTTTGTTCATATTTTGTACACATATACCCTATGGGGGTAGAAGTTCTGCTCGAAAGCCGATTTTCAAAATGGCCGCTCATTTCAAAATGGCAGCCATTTTAGTGACGATTTTACAGTAATTTAGGTGCAATATGTAAAACTGTAATAGCAATATGTTTTAAATGTAAAAAAAATTATAAAGGACATTAATAATGCTACAAATGTAGATATTAAAAAGCACATGGCAGCCATCTTGAAAAATGGCGGCCTTTACTCGTCATTTTACGATTTTTGCTGTAACTCTAAAAATAGTGGAGCGATTTTGTTCATATTTGGTGTGTGAATACTATAAGCATTGCACACTGTCTAAAGACACTTTTGGTAGAAGGCGGCCATTTTGAAAAATGGCCGCCATTTTAATGTATTTTACTATAACTCGAAAAGTAGTGGAGCGATTTTGTTCATATTTGGTATGTGAATACTATAAGCATGGCACACTGTCCTATGACACTTTTGGTAGAAGGCGGCCATTTTGAAAACAATTTTGAAAAATGGCCGCCATTTTAACGTATTTTACTAATACTCGAAAAGTAGTGGAGTGATTTTGTTCATATTTGGTATGTGAATACTATAAGCATGGAACACCGTCTATTTCTAATGACGCTTTTGGTAGAAGGTGGCCATTTTGAAAAATGGCCACCATTTTAACGTATTTTACTATAACTCGAAAAGTAGTGGAGCGATTTTGTTCATATTTGATATGTGAATACTTTAAGCATTGCACATTGTCTAATAAAACTTTGGGGAGTAGTCGGCCATTTTGAAAAATGGCCACCATTTTTACGTGTGTTATTTTACACGTACGTGTGCGATTTTTCAAAAAATTTTAGAGGTGGCTACTTAAAAGCATATTATTTCTTCTGATGACAACTTGGCTAGTGAGCAACCATTTTGAAAATGGTGGCCTTTCTGGTGTGTTGTTTTATGATATTTGCGCTTCGTTTGTAAAAATGCCAGCCATTTCTGTTCGATGGGATTTGCTACGCTTTGGCGTTGCCGTTGTTCTGGTTGGCATATTTTACTACTTTATTATCCCATCGAACGAAGTTCGGAGGGATATAGGGAACGCCTCCGTCCGTCCGTCCGTCCGTCCGTCCGTACGTCCGTCCGGGCAATAACTCAAATACCGTTGGCCCGATTTTATTCATATTTTGTACACATATACCCTATGGGAATAGAAGTTCTGCACGAAAGCCGATTTTCAAAATGGCCACTCATTTCAAAATGGCGGCCATTTTAGTGCCGAATTTACAGTAATTTAGGTGCAATATGTAAAACTGTAATAGCAATATGTTTTAGATGTAAAAAAATTATATAGGACATTAATAAAGCTAGAAATGTAGATATTAAAGAAGCACATGGCAGCCATCTTGAAAAATGGCGGTCTACTCGTTATTTTACGATTTTTGCTGTAACTTGAAAAGTAGTGGAGCGATTTTGTTCATATTTGGTATGTGAATACTATAAACATTGCACACTGTTTAAAGACACTTTAAGTAGAAGGCGGCCATTTTGAAAAATTGAAAAATGGCCGCCATTTTGAAAAATGGCTGCCATTTTAACGTATTTTACTATAACTCGAAAAGTAGTGAAGCGATTTTGTTCATATTTGGTATGTGAATACTGTAAGCATGGCACACTGTCTAATGACACTTTTGGTAGAAGGCGGTCATTTTTCAAAATGGCCGCCATTTTAACGTATTTTACTATAACTCGAAAAGTAGTGGAGCGATTTTGTTTATATTTGGTATGTGAATACTATAAGCACGGCACACTGTCTAATGGAACTTTTCGTAGAAGGTGGCCATTTTGAAAAATGGCCGCCATTTTAACGTATTTTACTATAACTTGAAAAGTAGTGGAGCGATTTTGTTCATATTTGGTATGTGAATACTATAAGCATGGCACATGGTCTAATGACACTTTTGGAAGAAGGCGGCCATTTTGAAAAATGGCTGCCATTTTTGCTATATCCTTTGTTTGTAAAAATGCCATCCATGGCTGTTCGATGGGATTCGCTACGCTTTGGCGTTGCCGTTGTTCTGGTTTTAAACTAACATTTTTCCAAGTGTTAATATGGTACAAAATAAAGTATTTTCATGGAACTTGTGTAAATGTTTGTATTGGTTATGATATTTATCCCATCGAACGAAGTTCGGAGGGATATAGGGAACGCCTCCGTCCGTCCGTCCGTACGTACGTCCGTCCGTCCGTACGTCCGTCCATCCGTCCGGGCAATAACTCAAATACTGTTGGCCCGATTTTGTTCATATTTTGTACACATATACCGTATGGGGATAGAAGTTCTGCTCGAAAGCCGATTTTCAAAATGGCCGCTCATTTCAAAATGGCGGCCATTTTAGTGCCGAATTTACAGTAATTTAGGTGCAATATGTAAAACTGTAATAGCAATATGTTTTAGATGTAAAAAAATTATATAGGACATTAATAAAGCTAGAAATGTAGATATTAAAGAAGCACATGGCAGCCATCTTGAAAAATGGCGGCCTTTACTCGTTATTTTATGATTTTTGCTGTAACTCGAAAAGTACTGGAGCGATTTTGTTCATATTTGGTATGTGAATACTATAAACATTGCACACTGTCTAAAGACACTTTTGGTAGAAGGTGGCCATTTTAAAAAATGGCCGCCATTTTGAAAAATGGCCGCCATTTTAACCTATTTTACTATAACTCGAAAAGTAGTGGAGCGATTTTGTTCATATTTGGTATGTGAATACTATAAGGATGGCACACTGTCTAATGACACTTTTGGTAGAAGGCAGCCATTTTTCAAAATGGCCGCCATTTTAACGTATTTTACTATATCTCGAAAGGTAGTGGAGCGATTTTGTTCATATTTGGTATGTGAATACTAAAAGCATGAAACACTATCCTATGACACTTTTAGTAGAAGGTGGCCATTTTGAAAATTTTTTTGAAAAATGGCCGCCATTTTATCCTTTTTTACTATAACTCGAAAAGTAGTGGAGCGATTTTGTTCATATTTGGTATGTGAATACTATAAGGATGGCACACTGTCTAATGATGAAAAATGGCCGCCATTTTAACATATTTTACTATAACTCGAAAAGTAGTGGAGCGATTTTGTTCATATTTGGTATGTGAATACTATAAGTATGGCAAATGGTCTAATGACACTTTTGGTAGAAGGCGGCCATTTTGAAAAATGCCTGCCATTTTTTCTATATACTTTGTTTGTAAAAATGCCATCCATGGCTGTTCGATGGGATTCGCTACGCTTTGGCGTTGCCGTTGTTCTGGTTTTAATAGTCTTGAAAATTTTGATCAATGTCGAAAAAGTCATTTGTTAGAATAATATTTCATTATTTGCTCACTATAAAATGCTATAAATTCACTATTTTAGCAACTAAAGTAAGACCAATGTATATATTTCAAATATAAATGCACACTTTATGCACCATTCAAAAGTTTGCGTTAGACCCCCCCACGCGGGCATGGGTGGGGAATTTGACAAAAAAAGTTTGACCAATTCTGTCTAATTCCTTACCCCGGGGCCAAATAAATGAGTCAATTTCCCTACCCTTGAACCAATAAATCTGGTCAAATATTTCGCGACCCCCAGGTCCTTCCACCATTTGGAATCTATTTTTAAACATCAGATTTCCTTGTTTTAGACTGATGCTCGTGAATGTTGAGGGATCCACGTGCAGTACTTTATGTCAATATTTTAATTAGAGACACCTATGGTCAAAAGATTATTCGCGGAAAGTCCACTACACATGCTACAATTAATTTATGAATGAAATGTACGAGAATTATGAATTAAAACTTCGATTACGATTTACATATAACCAATAGAGAAGCAGCTTTTTTTAAATGATGCAATTAATGCGAAATTAAAAGCCAATGAAAATACAGTCCATTTTATGACGTTTTCGCAAACTGCCTGAAAGTTTTGACAAAAATGAGCCGAGAGGGACACGGTTTTACCCTTGGTTTGTATCTGTTCAACA